AATTAGAAGTGGTGATAGCCATGAAATAATTGCTGTCATAGTTTGTCAACGTCGACCGTAGCCTTAAAGAATTCCACCGACATCTAAATGCCTGGGGTGCGGTAAAATAACACATCCATTTTTTGGATAAATATAGTAATGATAGTGCAGTTAATATTAAGTGACTTGTTTAAAATGCTGGCTTGAATGACTTTTAAGACTGGTGTTATATTCGCTAGCACAAATTTTCCGACACGTTTGTGACACCATTTTGTCCTCCGTTTTGCAATTTTCGTCATTAAGCCTATTACGCAACTAGGAACAGATTACCATAACCCCAAAAGCAGGACACCAACGTTATGATATTTGCCTGATCACAAGTGAGCTCTGAGATACAGTTGGCAAGGCCGTCAATTGACGGCGTACTGGCGGAGCGAACTGGGATGACTGGCAATCTGCACGCATCGCTGTGATTCCTATTTTTGCTTTGTTCTCCTTTCTTTTTTACAATTATCAGACTGTAGAGCCACAGTATGTGTTTGATTTGTATTCCGCTCATCTTTTATCCCGCCGCCGCAGCCACAGCTGAACATCTGCACAGACCTTAGTCTCCCTTGGGCTTTTTACTCAGTCAAGTACACAGTTAGGATGCTGCTGTAGCTTTATTGTGATCGGCGCACGCACACGCTTGTTCGCAGTTTGTGACTGGCTGTTCATGCAAAGATGGTAGTCCGTAATGGCTGAGCAATTTGATTGGTTGTGGATTGCAATGGTGGATTGTGGAGGAGAAAGAGGATGAGGATTCAGTGCGACGGTGTAAAAGGTGGTGTGCGGTCGTGTTGGTGGCGGTTGTCCAGACAGTGGTATGCGGTGAAATTTTTTTAATGTGATTAGTTTTCATGTGCCAAGGCAACAGATTGAGTATGTGGCATAGTTATAGATGCTGTAGGTGGCACTATTTAGTGTGTGCGTGTGTGTAGAACTCTAGAAAGTGGAAAGAGAGATGTTTGGGTGGTGAGGGAAGCAGCTGTTTGGTATAATTTTGCATGACTCGTTTTGGGCTTCAGCAGACCTTCCATAAGAGCCCATGGGAAGTAGGTAAGTGGGTGAGTGGAACGGCCATTAACAAATCTCACGAAGAAGGGTTTGACAGGAGGGGAGATGGGGTGAGACTTTAGCATAGTACCTGATTGGGTGAGCTAGTGTAGATGTAAAATAAGGTGGTGGTGGTGATGATTGCTGAATAGTTGTGAGTAGCACAGAGCATCACTGACTGACCCTAGGACGGCGTAGAAAAAGGAGATTTTTTGGAAAATAACGACGCAGGCCTGGTTAAATCATGGACGTGGAATATTAGACGTGGCGGGAGTGGTGCTAGTAGTGGTTTTGGCGGCGGTAGTAGGATTAGTGGTAGTTGTAGTAGTAGTGTAGGTGGGTGGTCTTGGTAGCGGTAGTTCGTGGTAACAGTAGCGGTGGAAGTGGTGGTTTTGTTAATGGTAGTGGTAGTAAAAATAGTTGTGGTAGTGATGGTGGTAGTAGCAGTTGCAGGTAGGAATAACGGTGGTGAGAGTGGTTGTAGTGCTATTAGCATTTGCTGGTTGCAGTAGTTAGTGAAAGTAGTGGTCATTTGTAGCAGTGGCAGAAGTAGTAGCAGTGGTTTTGGTAGTAATAGTAGGCGTCCTGGTATAAGAAGCAGTATTGGTGGTGGTAGTGTTATATTCGCGATGCCAGTTACAAAAGCACGCATTTTGCTTGTCGTTGAAACAGGGAGACAAGGCACCGACAGAATGACCTTGCTTCAGCTGCGAATCATCGCAGACCCACCTGATTTGGCGTCATCGGATGCGAATGGACCCCTCGAGATGGACGTGAAATCGCCGCACAGTCACCGACTGGTATTGACGGCTGCATTTGCCAGAATTGAGGACGAGACAGTCTGGAGTAGAGACGATTGAGGGGAAGACAAGAGCAAGACGGGGAGATAGTTGAGTCGGAAGAATACTCACAGCAGCTTGGCATCGGAAAAGGCGGCGGCGGTCGCGCAAACCTACACCGGATGCGTCATAATATCTACGGAAATTGTTGCTTTTCTCTTCTTGCAGGCGACAAATCTTCACCGTTTTACATCCATCACGCCATGATGCATTGACCTTTGAAGTCTGGTTGTTTGCTTGGTTATAAAAACCAAGCATCGAGGACCCGATAGATACTCAGTCTCGTGGTGGTGGTGTGGTGGCGGCCGTAATAATGTCGTTGAGAATTTCAATGGAGAACGTGGGCAGTGTGTGGTCACTTGCAGATGCGACAATGAACTGCGCTGCATGTCGCCAGTGCATGCGTACCAGTGATAAATGCCAGCTTTAAAAGCATCTGCCGTTATCGCGCGGGCTTCTTCATGAGCCACTCAAGTGAGCCACATTACACCACCTCGCCATGCTCCTTTCGTGTCGTTGTCACCAACGCAAAGTCGATGAGACGTTGAAGCTGCGCGCCATCTTCTCCTCCTGACTCGACGCCGCACCCTCCGCAGCAGCACCAGAAGACTTAAGACGTCGGGCTAACAACTTACTTGAGCGCATTCCTTCAACAGTCGACCTTCAACACGTGAGAGCCAATTCGCTCACGAGTTTTCCGTCTCAATTGCAGCGCCGTGGAACGGACCAACGGGAAAAAAGGAAGACGAGGATAGGAACATATAAAGACCCGTTTTCCCCCTTATTTCCGACCTGTTTGTGACTAGATTGTGGCTTGCTTCAGCCTTCATTAAAGTACCCCCTATTGCCTTACTATCTCTCTAGACCATGCCATGGGTCGGAAACGTACAGTAGGGACGGATCAGGGCGCAGACATATTGGGCCACCTGGTCCCGGCCAATCATGCTTCTCAAAGAGTTGCGATGGCATGCGAGGAAGTTAGGTAACGAATGAGGAGCAGCATATATTGGGCGGCGCGGCCAGCGTGGTGGTCACAAATAGAATGCGCCTGACGTGTGGATCTGGATTGTGATTGGTCAAAAAAGCCTTGCTTGTTGTACCGGTCTTCTTCCAATTAGGGCTCGGGTATTTTACAATTGAAGTCATTGATAATGCAATCGAAGCCATCAGAATGTCACTCGAGTGAATCTTAGGCACCGGCCCCTGCTTGTGATGAGACGTTTGCGTTACGTCGTAATCACTTGCCACTCTCTTAATTGAATGCAACGTCGACAATTTTTGCGTATTGTCTGGATCTGTTTGCATGATTTGTGTGTGGATTTAAGCACTCATTTTAAACTTGTGCAATTTGCAGATTCTCCTTTTTGTGCTTTATTCTAAACAGTCGTAATTTTGTGACAACGAAACGTTCGTCTACTTCCACGAACGTTTGCTTAACTCAGTTCAACCTAACAATAACTCTATCTGTCACAGTATGGAAGTGTTTGTTTTTAATCTGAAAGAAATGTTTAAATTTCAACATTCGTTTGACAAATTTTAGTATAAAACCTTTTTTAAGTTTAACTTTTGAATCAAAAGGACGAATTTGTGATCGGATTTGATTACTAATTTAACTTATGCTGAATGTTTAATGAACGTAAATTAATAACCTCATATTCTCAAATCGCAACCTTGTCAACTCATTCTGCATCGGTTTTTTAAGCTTATCTTCATTTTTAATTAAAATGCAGCATGTCTGAAATCTAATTTGTTTTTGAAGGAAACAACAGTGGAGGCTGAAGCGATTTACAACACTAAAAATCTTACTAGAAACATCCCCCAAGTGACCAGTGACATGAAGCTAAATGGTATGTTGTGGAACAGATTGTACAAGGTCATTCCAACGAATCATTATAAATCATTGATAATATAGAAGTAAAAGTCGCAGAAGTAGTTAAAAGCATCTGTTAGTGTAATTAATTGTTATGCCGAAAATCTGACATTTCAAAAGTCACGCACTCTGATAACCGGAACCTTATATCCTAAGTCCGAAATTGGGTTATGACAGAGAGCTTTTATTGTCTTGCCCAACGTTTAATGGATCTGTCAAAATCTGCGCACTTATGTAATTCTGCGATGAACACGACCTAAAATGTAAAAGGTGGATTAACACAGACATAGCTGTTAATAGGATTCTCTGTGCGCCTCGCATACTATTTGGGATCGTTCAGAGGCATTGTGCTACCATTCACGAAACCCAAAGTATCGATAAGCCGTCTTGAAGAAAGCAATATCACCAGCAGAACTTTCCTTTATTCAATTGTTTCTATCTGATAGCATTGACGACTTTAGCTTAGCGGGACATCGGAGAGTTGACGTCACTGATGACAAATTATTCTAGTCAAACAGCGTGTGCACTAGTATTACAGTCAGTCAGTTTCAATATCTTTAACTACAAATTATTTGCATGGCAAACCTGACAGCCGCAAAATTTTCACACATTTCTCAACTCACACACTTACATAACCGCTGCTACAAATTGGATGTCCTACGCTAGTCCTTACTTTCTAACGCTGATGTAAGACAAGATAAAGACTTGTGCAGACAACCTTTAAAGTCTTAGACAATGTCTTTACGATCTGTCAAAATTTGTTCACTTCGATTAGAGCAGTTAAGATGGCCTTGAAGTGCTGGATGAAGGCGAAATGACGCAGATGAAGCTGTCAGTAAGAAGACGCAAAAACCGCGCACTGAGGGGGCGTGGTTTGGCAACTGCGTACACAAAGTCGGAATCCTTAGCCACGATGGGTCATCGTGTGAAAAGCTCAATCCCCTAAAAAACTCCACTTTATTATATCGTTCCTTTTTGAGAGCTGTGGTAAAAATTTGCCTAGGTAATAGCGCCTGTGCAAGCCGATATTTGTAACTAAGTTCAGTCTGAGGTTAAGTTTTCTTGTTGTTCCTAGTTGTCAAAATTAGTACATGTTAACGCGTCGGGTACCCTATGTGGTAAACACACTTATTAAAACCATTCCTGGCTAGATGCCAGTAAAATGTTGTCATCATCACGAAAGCAATTAGGTGTAATTGTGTCTACTCTTATTTTTCCCAGGAATCTGTCTCTGGTGCATTGTTAAAGGCTGAACCTGCCAGTATAGTGTAAGGCTACGGTCTGGGAAGAATGGATGACTATTCCTAATGGGTCTCCCAACTAAATTTAACAGATTGCAAATGTACCACCGTGATAAGCAGATAAGTAATTATTAGTAAATATACAGCGACAGCTTTGATTAACGTTGAAAACCAACAATTCATCGCTGCATTTCACTAGAATTCCTAAATTTGGTTACTTACTTTGGATAGCAATTAAAAAATGCCAGTACGCCAAAAAAAGACAAGAAAATGTTGACAACGTCGACAGCAGCCGCAGTCCGCACAATTACCATCGCTATACTTGAGGAGTGATGACTAACAGTAAGATTGACAGAATGCTTGCAGGAACTGTTAAGGCTCAGGATGCCACCCACAATGTCAAGAGCCTTGTTGTTAATTAGCCTTTATCGCGGATACTTCAAATAAGAGGCAAAGTGCGACCGCATGTTGATCTCTAATTTGCTTTAAGGCACCGCATTACATAAATGACATGCTTATTCACGATCTTTTGCATATTTAGTCCAAGTTACGTGGAAGTTGGCAACTTGATAATATTTCTAATAATAGTGAGTAGTAATTGACACAAATTGTTAAATTTCACATTATTTATTTTAAATAGCATTTGGCGCGCTTATGATCACAAATGTTTCGGCCATTTTTTCCCAACAACTCAAAAGATGTTGCTTTACTCCATCAATGTTTCTTGTTTCGTAATTCTACATAAAATTGTTTAATGCTATTTCCGTATTGAACATACTGTTTAGCAAAGTTCCAATGACCAACGCACAATTCTCCTCACACTCACTTTCAACACGACTTCATGCATTTGACCCTAACGAAAATCAAATGGTCCTTCAACCCATGAGGCGGGAACTGGAAAACATGCTAATTAATAATGCTTAATAAATGGGGAAAATTTGCTTTTAATAAATGTCG